GTTTGTGTGCTCACTCATGGCGCAGCTCAGCCCCGCCACCAAGCCTCTGGCGGGAATGCTGGCCTCGCTCATGCAGCGACAGGTGGGTGAAAAAAGGGGGACGGCTGGGCTGTAAGTTTGTGTGCTCACTCATGGCGCAGCTCAGCCCCGCCACCAAGCCTGTGGCGGGAATGCTGGCCTCGCTCATGCTGTGAGAGGTGGGTGAAAAAGGGGGGACGGCTGGGCTGTAAGTTTGTGTGCTCACTCATGGCGCAGCTCAGCCCCGCCACCAAGCCTCTGGCGGGAATGCTGGCCTCGCTCATGCTACGACAGGTAGGTGAAAAGGGGGGACGGCTGGGCTGTAAGTTTGTGTGCTCACTCATGGCGCAGCTCAGCCCCGCCACCAAGCCTCTGGCAACAATGCTGGCCTCGCTCATGCTGCGACAGGTGGGTGAAAAAGGGGGGACGGCTGGGCTGTAAGTTTGTGTGCTCACTCATGGCGCAGCTTAGCGTCGCCACCAAGACTCTGGCGGGAATGCTGGCCTCGCTCATGCTGTGACAGGTGGGTGAAAAAGGGGGGACGGCTGGGCTGTAAGTTTGTGTGCTCACTCATGGCGCAGCTCAGCCCCGCCACCAAGCCTCTGGCGGGAATGCTGGCCTCGCTCATGCTGCGACAGGTGGATGAAAAAAGGGGGACAGCTGGGCTGTAAGTTTGTGTGCTCACTCATGGCGCAGCTCAGCCCCGCCACCAAGCCTCTGGCGGGAATGCTGGCCTCGCTCATGCTGTGACAGGTGGGTGAAAAAAGGGGGACGGCTGGGCTGTAAGTTTGTGTGCTCACTCATGGCGCAGCTCAGCCCAGCCACCAAGCCTCTAGCAGGGATGCTGGCCTCGCTCATGCTGCGACAGGTGGGTGAAAAAGGGGGGACGGCTGGGCTGTAAGTTTGTGTGCTCACTCATGGCGCAGCTCAGCCCCGCCACCAAGCCTCTGGCAACAATGCTGGCCTCGCTCATGCTACGACAGGTGGGTGAAAAAGGGGAGACGGCTGGGCTGTAAGTTTGTGTGCTCACTCATGGCGCAGCTCAGCCCCACCGCCAAGCCTCTGGCAACAATGCTGGCCTCGCTCATGCTGTGACAGGTGGGTGAAAAAGGGGGGACGGCTGGGCTGTAAGTTTGTGTGCTCACTCATGGCGCAGCTCAGCCCCGCCACCAAGCCTCTGGCAACAATGCTGGACTCGCTCATGCTACGACAGGTGGGTGAAAAAGGGGGGACGGCTGGGCTGTAAGTTTGTGTGCTCACTCATGGCGCAGCTCAGCCCCGCCGCCAAGCCTCTGGCAACAATGCTGGCCTCACTCATGCTACGACAGGTGGGTGAAAAAGGGGGGACGGCTGGGCTGTAAGTTTGTGTGCTCACTCATGGCGCAGCTCAGCCCCGCCACCAAGCCTCTTGCAACAATGCTGGCCTCGCTCATGCTACGACAGGTGGGTGAAAAAGGGGGGACGGCTGGGCTGTAAGTTTGTGTGCTCACTCATGGCGCAGCTCAGCCCCGCCACCAAGCCTCTGGCAACAATGCTGGCCTCGCTCATGCTACGACAGGTGGGTGAAAAAGGGGGGGCGGCTGGGCTGTAAGTTTGTGTGCTCACTCATGGCGCAGCTCAGCCCCGCCACCAAGCCTCTGGCGGGAATGCTGGCCTCGCTCATGCTGTGACAGGTGGGTGAAAAAGGGGGGACGGCTGGGCTGTAAGTTTGTGTGCTCACTCATGGCGCAGCTCAGCCCCGCCACCAAGCCTCTGGCGGGAATGCTGGCCTCGCTCATGCTGCGACAGGTGGGTGAAAAAAGGGGGACGACTGGGCTGTAAGTTTGTGTGCTCACTCATGGCGCAGCTCAGCCCAGCCACCAAGCCTCTAGCAGGGATGCTGGCCTCGCTCATGCTGCGACAGGTGGGTGAAAAAGGGGGGACGGCTGGGCTGTAAGTTTGTGTGCTCACTCATGGCGCAGCTCAGCCCCGCCACCAAGCCTCTGGCAACAATGCTGGCCTCGCTCATGCTACGACAGGTGGGTGAAAAAGGGGAGACGGCTGGGCTGTAAGTTTGTGTGCTCACTCATGGCGCAGCTCAGCCCCACCGCCAAGCCTCTGGCAATAATGCTGGCCTCGCTCATGCTGTGACAGGTGGGTGAAAAAGGGGGGACGGCTGGGCTGTAAGTTTGTGTGCTCACTCATGGCGCAGCTCAGCCCCGCCACCAAGCCTCTGGCAACAATGCTGGACTCGCTCATGCTACGACAGGTGGGTGAAAAAGGGGGGTAGGCTGGGCTGTAAGTTTGTGTGCTCACTCATGGCGCAGCTCAGCCCCGCCGCCAAGCCTCTGGCAACAATGCTGGCCTCACTCATGCTACGACAGGTGGGTGAAAAATGGGGGACGGCTGGGCTGTAAGTTTGTGTGCTCACTCATGGCGCAGCTCAGCCCCGCCACCAAGCCTCTGGCAACAATGCTGGCCTCGCTCATGCTGCGACAAGTGGGTGAAAAAAGGGGGGACGGCTGGGCTGTAAGTTTGTGTGCTCACTCATGGCGCAGCTCAGCCCCGCCACCAAGCCTGTGGCGGGAATGCTGGCCTCGCTCATGCTGTGACAGGTGGGTGAAAAAGGGGGGACGGCTGGGCTGTAAGTTTGTGTGCTCACTCATGGCGCAGCTCAGCCCCGCCACCAAGCCTGTGGCGGGAATGCTGGCCTCGCTCATGCTGCGACAGGTGGGTGAAAAAAGGGGGACAGCTGGGCTGTAAGTTTGTGTGCTCACTCATGGCGCAGCTCAGCCCAGCCACCAAGCCTCTAGCAGGGATGCTGGCCTCGCTCATGCTGCGACAGGTGGGTGAAAAAGGGGGGACGGCTGGGCTGTAAGTTTGTGTGCTCACTCATGGCGCAGCTCAGCCCCGTCACCAAGCCTCTGGCGGGAATGCTGGCCTCGCTCATGCTGCGACAGGTGGGTGAAAAAGGGGGGACGGCTGGGCTGTAAGTTTGTGTGCTCACTCATGGCGCAGCTCAGCCCCGTCACCAAGCCTCTGGCGGGAATGCTGGCCTCGCTCATGCTGTGACAGGTGGGTGAAAAAGGGGGGACGGCTGGGCTGTAAGTTTGTGTGCTCACTCATGGCGCAGCTCAGCCCCGCCACCAAGCCTCTGGCGGGAATGCTGGCCTCGCTCATGCTGTGACAGGTGGGTGAAAAAGGGGGGACGGCTGGGCTGTAAGTTTGTGTGCTCACTCATGGCGCAGCTCAGCCCCGCCACCAAGCCTCTAGCAGTGATGCTGGCCTCGCTCATGCTGCGACTGGTGGGTGAAAAAGGGGGGACGGCTGGGCTGTAAGTTTGTGTGCTCACTCATGGCGCAGCTCAGCCCCGCCACCAAGCCTCTGGCGGGAATGCTGGCCTCGCTCATGCTGTTACAGGTGGGTGAAAAAAGGGGGACGGCTGGGCTGTAAGTTTGTGTGCTCACTCATGGCGCAGCTCAGCCCCGCCACCAAGCCTCTGGCGGGAATGCTGGCCTCGCTCATGCTGTGACAGGTGGGTGAAAAAAGGGGGACGGCTGGGCTGTAAGTTTGTGTGCTCACTCATGGCGCAGCTCAGCCCAGCCACCAAGCCTCTAGCAGGGATGCTGGCCTCGCTCATGCTGCGACAGGTGGGTGAAAAAGGAGGGACGGGTGGGCTGTAAGTTTGTGTGCCCACTCATGGCGCAGCTCAGCCCCGCCACCAAGCCTCTGGCAACAATGCTGGCCTCGCTCATGCTACGACAGGTGGGTGAAAAAGGGGAGACGGCTGGGCTGTAAGTTTGTGTGCTCACTCATGGCGCAGCTCAGCCCCACCGCCAAGCCTCTGGCGGGAATGCTGGCCTCGCTCATGCTGTGACAGGTGGGTGAAAAAGGGGGGACGGCTGGGCTGTAAGTTTGTGTGCTCACTCATGGCGCAGCTCAGCCCCGCCACCAAGCCTCTGGCAACAATGCTGGACTCGCTCATGCTACGACAGGTGGGTGAAAAAGGGGGGACGGCTGGGCTGTAAGTTTGTGTGCTCACTCATGGCGCAGCTCAGCCCCGCCGCCAAGCCTCTGGCAACAATGCTGGCCTCACTCATGCTACGACAGGTGGGTGAAAAAGGGGGGACGGCTGGGCTGTAAGTTTGTGTGCTCACTCATGGCGCAGCTCAGCCCTGCCACCAAGCCTCTGGCAACAATGCTGGCCTCGCTCATGCTACGACAGGTGGGTGAAAAAGGGGGGACGGCTGGGCTGTAAGTTTGTGTGCTCACTCATGGCGCAGCTCAGCCCCGCCACCAAGCCTCTGGCAACAATGCTGGCCTCGCTCATGCTACGACAGGTGGGTGAAAAAGGGGGGACGGCTGGGCTGTATGTTTGTGTGCTCACTCATGGCGCAGCTCAGCCCCGCCACCAAGCCTCTGGCAACAATGCAGGCCTCGCTCATGCTACGACAGGTGGGTGAAAAAAGGGGGACGGCTGGGCTGTAAGTTTGTGTGCTCACTCATGGCGCAACTCAGCCCAGCCACCAAGCCTCTAGCAGGGATGATGGCCGCTCTCATGCTGCGACAGGTGGGTGAAAAAGGGGGGACGGCTGGGCTGTAAGTTTGTGTGCTCACTCATGGCGCAGCTCAGCCCCGCCACCAAGCCTCTAGCAGGAATGCTGGCGTCCCTCATGCTGCAACAGGTGGGTGAAAAAGGGGGGACGCCTGGGCTGTATGTTTGTTTGTGTTCTCACTCATGGCGCAGCTCAGCCCCGCCACCAAGCCTCTAGCAGGGATGCTGGCCTCGCTCATGCTGCGACAGGTGGGTGAAAAAGGGGGGACGGCTGGGCTGTATGTTTGTTTGTGTGCTCACTCATGGCGCAGCTCAGCCCGGCCACCAAGCCTCGGGCAGGAATGCTGGCCTCCCTGATGCTTCCACAGATGGGTGTGCGTGTGAGGAACGAGGAGGGGGGATGGCGATGGGGGATATGGGATGGTGGGCTTTGTGTGAATGGGTGCTCATGGCGCAGCTCAGCCCAGCCACCAAGCCTCTAGCAGGAATGCTGGCGTCCCTGATGCTGCGACAGGTGGGTGGTGGAACGGTGGGCTCTCTTGCAACCCTCCCCTCCGTCCCCTGCAGTATGCCATTGCCATGACTTTTGAGGCACCTCAAAAGCCATTGCCATGCTCCCAATCACAGTGTGGATCCACAGTCTCCCTGTGCAATCCACATGCCTCATTAGCTTCCATTCCACCCCTGCCCTCTCTTGCAACCCTCCCCTCCGTACCCTGCAGTACGCCATTGCCATGCTCCCAATCACAGTGTGGATCACGGTCTCCCTACGGCATCTCTCATGCCTCCCAAACCTCTACTCTCCCTCCCCCCCACTATCCTCCCCATCTCCCCCGCCCTCCTTCCCCAGCAGGATGTGATATCCATGCTCCCAATCACAGTGTGAATCACAGTCTTCCTACAGCAACCCACGTGCCTTTCAAACCCCCATCCCTCCCCCTCCCCCTCTCTCTATCCTCCCCATCCACCCCATCCACATGTCCCCTGCAGTACGCCATTTCCATGCTCCCCATCACAGTGTGGATCACAATCTCCTCCACCTAACTTCCACCTCTCCCCCTCTTTTGCATCCCTCCCCTCCTTCCCCTGCAGTGTGCCATTGCCATTTCCACTGTAATCACAGTGTGGATCACAGTCTTCCTACTGCAACTCTCAAGCCTCCCAAACCTCTACTCCCCCACTACCTCTCCCCTCCTTCCCCTGCAGTATGCCATTGCTATGCTCCCCATCACAGTGTGAATCACAGTCTCCTCCACCTAACTTCCACCTCTCCCCCTCTCTTGCAAAACCCCCCATCTCCCCTCCCTCTCCTCCTCTCTTGCAAAACTCCCCACCTCCCCTCCCTCTCCCCCTCTCTTGCAACCCTTCCCCCTGCAGTACGCCATTGCCATGCTCCCAATCACAGTGTGGATCACGGTCTTCCCAGGGCAACCCACATGCTATATCAAAATCCACCCCCCCCCCCCCCCCCTCCCCCCCCTCCCCTCTCTTGCATCCCTCCCCTCCATCCCCTGCAGTACGCCATTGCCATGCTCCCAATCACAGTGTGGATCACGGTCTTCCTCTCGCGACTCAACATGGCCATATGAAGACACGAGAAGTGCAAACATGATGGAGAATCACGAAACATCCAGCCTCGGGGTACACTCCTGTGAGCAAGCATCACAAAAGAGGCCTCTCGTACACAATTTACAAGATGAGAAAAAAGGGAGATAATTATTCATATTATATTATTTTCAAGATGGAACATTGGTAATAAAATAGCTACATATTACCTTCGCATCCCTTGGTGTGTGAAGCGCATGGTATTGACGAGATTCTTAATCAGCATTGGGTAGAACCAGGCTCACAGATTTCAGCATTGTGCGAATGTGTACAGTGCTAAACAGTGTAGACTACTGAACACATGATCTGAACACATGAGCATCTTTAAAAGGAGAAGGTAAATCTGTGGACAAATGAGCAAAGGCAAAGGCAGGAAGATAGGCACGTCAGCTGGTGGAAACAAACCCAGTACCTTCCCAGCATTCCTGCCTTGGATGCTCATTCCTCCTAATACAAACACACCACACGGTTACTCCTGAAAGAACATGTTCAAAGCAATATTACATTACGCAGATATAATACGGTAAGCAAAGGCAACGGCAGGAAGACTGGCAAGTCAGCTGGTGAAATCTAGCCTGGTGTCTTGCCAGCATTCCTGCCCCTGATGCTCATTCCTAACAAAAACACCCCATAACAAAACTCCAAGCTAAAAGAACCCTGAATTGGGATCTGCTACTCCATCCCCAGCAAGGAACGGAACCACAATGGAACACCGCCACCATCAGCAGCAACAGCCGTGGCAGCAGCGGCGGCGGGGACGGCAGCAGCAGCGGCGGCAGGGACGGCAGCAGCAGCGGCAACGGCAGCAGCAGCGACGGCAGCAGCAGCGGCAACGGCAGCAGCAGCGACGGCAGCAGCAGCAGCAGCAGCAGCGACGGCAGCAGCAACGCATCAGGCAGCGGCGGAGGGCAGTTTGACGCCCATGAGCTGGCTGCCCCACGCCACACCCCCCCCTCCCCCCCCCCTCCCCCCCTCTCCCCCTCCCTCCCCCCCCCCCCCCAAGTGGCAGCGCAAAGCCGCCAGCAGCACCGCCATCACATCAGGCAGCGGCGGAGGGCAGTTTGACGCCCATGAGCTGGCCGCCCCACGCCACACCCCCCGCAGTGGCAGTGGCCAGCACGGCATACCCACTCACAGTCGCGTTCACACCCCGCCACCCCCCATCATCCCCCCCGCGCCCCCAGCGCCTGGGTATCCACCTGAGGAACCACCTGCAGGCGGCTGCCGTGGCGCCCCCTGCTGCTGCCCCCCCTGCCTGGCGCCGGTGACGCGCCCCGCTGCGCGCATCAGCAGCTCCCTCCCCATGCGCCTGCTGCCCTGCCCGCTCCGCGTGCCGCCCGAGCTCCCTCCACGTCCGCCGCCGCCGCGCGCCGCCGGGAGCGTCGCGTTAGGGAGGAGCGCGAGGAGCGCTTCGACGGTGGCGGCGTCCGCGTTCTCGAGAAACGCGTCGAGCCGCGCCTCCGCGTGCAGCAGCCACCAGCCTTCGCGCTGCTGCCAGTCGGACTCCGCCAGCGGAATCGCGAGGATCGCGGCGGCGGAGGCGGAAGAGTCGCAGACGGCGCCCTTCACGATCGCGAGGGAGTCGGGCGGCCCACCCGTGGCGCCCACGAGCAGCGCGTCGACCGCCAGGTTGTAGTTGCCGCTCGCGTTCCTGGCGGAGGGGGAAGGGAACAGAAGAACGAATCAGTTTCACGAAGCGCATCGAAATTGTAATATCTGCAACCAAGAGGAGAAGAATTTGCGACGCTGAAGCTAAATGAACGAGAAAATCCGACGAAAGGAGGCCCGCGAAAGTTAGGGTTACGGTAACATCGAAGCTCACTTAAAGATGGCGAGGTGAAAGCGGCCGTTGAGAAAGGTTTCGTCTGCGGAGCAATTGGCCAATCGCGCGCCGACGTCCGCCGTCAGATTTCCGACGACCGTCAAGTTGAACGGAGGACCGCGCGGACCAGCAGGCCCACCAGGCCCGCCAGGCCCGCCAGACCCGGGTCCGCCAGGTCCTCCGCGCGCCCCTCCGGACTGCTGGCCTCCGGGAGGGCCTCCGCCAGGCGGTCCACGCTGCGCGGCCGCGGAAGTCGCAAGGAGGAGCGCAATGCATACGAAAATATATCCCCTGGCTGCCATGGCTTTCGGAATCGTGAAGTGAATTGGTATTGAGGCGAGATCGATAGACGTTGGATGGATGGGAGAAAGCAGAGCAGAAAGTTTGAGATGGCAAGAGGTTGAACTGAGGGAGCAACTTATAGGCAACAGCTTTCTCACAATCCATCCTCGAGTCGAGTCGGGCGTTGACTGACGAAATATAATTCCCGAGACGCGAGGAGACTCGTCAAGTTGGTGGAGCCAGTCGCGAATCGTGAGACATGAGGTCTGGTATGGTATGGTATGGTTGTGTTCCCTTTGTCTGGTTTGGCTCGTATTGTTTGGTTTGGGGCTTGGCGGTGAGAGCTTAGCGGCCCGGTACTGTGACTGGTCTGGTGAGGAAGGGCCTGGTGTTGAAATTCTTCGACTGGTTTGGAGCTGTGTCTGGTTGGGTCAGCGCACAGCAGAAAACACATGAGGATTGCAGTTGAAATTGTAGTCAGCGGGTGCGAGTCCACAAAGTCTAAGCTAGTGTATACCTATTCGCTTATGTCTATAATATACATAATATACTGAGTGAATGATGTTGAGAGAATATGTCGTAAAGTTGAGACATCCAAGGATTTGTTATTGAATAAGGTGTTGCTGAATGGCTGCTATTGAGTGTCCTTCAGAATTTCAGGTTCTGCTTCCCCTTCCAGTTCTGCTCCAGTCGCTGCTGCTGCAGCGAGCAACATGGTATTGTGGTCTGGTCTGGTAGTGTGTTCTCTGCTAAGGTTGTGCAACTAGAGGAGCTATGGAAGTGTAATGAGATTTCCTGCTTATTTTTACACTCTGAACAGCTAACTATCTTATTTGAAGCTACACGTAACCAGTATGCTTCGAACAACGAAGCTGAGGCATGGAAAGCGCATCATGTACGCGTGTATGCTGTTGTGTCACTCTCACATAAAGAACGCTCCTCCATCAAGTGTTGACGTGCCGCGTCTCCAGATGGCCATGTTGAAGCGTGAGCGGAGGCGGCTTTTGATTTTGAAGCTCTCGAAGAACGCTCGTGCTCTCTTGTCCCCAGTTGGGTATACTGACGCCTTCGTTTGGTCATGTTGAGGCAACAGAGAAAGAAAGAACCTCCTTGTGCTACCCAGACGGCTTGGGAGGCGATTTTTGAGTCGACTCGAAAATCGCCTCATCACACGCGAAAGAACCTCCTTGTGCAACCCAGACGGCTTGAGAGTCACCCCGTCTACCTTGAGACGTCTCAAGGTGGTACTGATGTGCAGGTATGAGAGGAAGACACGCGTGGAGGCAGACACCTGAGAAGTGCTTGTGACTTTGGAGTCGACTCAATAGTGACCTTGAGACGTCTCAAAGTAGTGATGTGCAGGTGTGAGAGGAAGACACGTGTGGAGGCAGACACCTGAGAAGTGCTCGTGCCTGCCCTCGTGCCTTGAGGCGGTTATGCTGCCGCTTTCATATGGCCATGTTGAGGCGTGAGAGGAAGACTGTGATCCACACTGTGATTGGGAGCATGGATATGGCGTACTGCAGGGGACGGAGGGGAGGTGTAGCGGGGGAGAGGGAGGCATGGGGGGAGGGTGGGGTTGAACAGCATGTGGGTTGCAGTAGGAAGACTGTGATCCACACAGTGATTGGGAGCATGGATATGGCGTACTGCAGGGGACGGAGGATAGGGGAGGGATGCAAGAGAGGGAGAGGGTTGAAAGCGAGGGAGATGGGAGTATGTTAATAAGGCTTGTGGGTTGCTGTAGGAAGGCTGTGATTCACACTGTGATTGGGAGCATGGTAATGGCGTACTGCAGGGGAAGGAGGGGAAAGATGCAAGAGAGGGGGAGGCTTGGGTGTATTGCTATTGGGTTGGGCTGTGGCGTATACACAAAGACCCCACAAGACCCCATCTGTGCCTTTTGAGTCGATTCAAGCGTCGTCACCCCCTACTCGCCCTCCCCTTTCCCCCCTCCCCTTTGCTTCTCAGGCATTGTACAAAGCCAGGCTGATTCCCCAAGACCCCATCTGTGCTATCACCCTCATGGTCAGTGCTTCCCCCCCCTCTTCCCGTTCCCTCGACCACCACAAAGCCCTGTTTTTGCTATCACCCTCATGGTCAGTGTAGCGCTTCCTTCCTTTTGAAACGTGGCTTTTCCTATCTACACGTGGCTTTTGCTATCACCCTCATGGTCAGTGTAGCGCTTCCTTCCCCGCCCTTTCGACTTCTCGCCTAGTACTGCTCTCATCTCCTTGTCATCTCCTATCGTGCAATATATCATTTCTATCTCTGTGTATTCTCCTCCCATGTGTGAGCCCCTTGGATCCAAACAGCACCGAATTCACGCTGTCATTTATGCGAATGAGACCAGCATCGAATCTCATTTATGTGTCTCTCCTCTCCTCGTCTCTCCTCCTTTCCCCTCTCCCATCAGATCCAAACCGCCATGCCATCAGTACAGAACCTCGTGCTCATGGCGCAATTCATTTTCTACCTTAAATCAGAAACCCTACACCCTTTTGTCCCCTCTCCTCTCCCCCCTCTGCCCTCAGATCCAAACCGCCATGCCATCGGTACAGAACCTCGTGCTCATGGCGCAATTCATTTTCTACCTTAAATCAGAAACCCTACACCCTTTTGTCCCCTCTCCTCTCCCCCCTCTGCCCTCAGATCCAAACCGCCATGCCATCGGCTCAGAATCTCGTGCTCATGGCGCAGCTCAGCCCCGCCACCAAGCCTCTGGCAACAATGCTGGCCTCGCTCATGCTACGACAAATGGGTGAAAAAGGGGGGACGGCTGGGCTGTAAGTTTGTGTGCTCACTCATGGCGCAGCTCAGCCCCGCCACCAAGCCTGTGGCAACAATGATGGCCTCGCTCATGCTACGACAGGTGGGTGA